CAAAATTTCAAAATTCTCAATTCCCAAATTTCCAATTTCCAAATTCTGGAATTTCTAATTTTCTAGTTTCCTAAATCGGCAGTTCCCAAATTTTTCACAACCTCCATTCCCAATTCCTAAATTTCGAGTACCGAGATTTCTAAATTCTAAAATCGTAAATTCCTATATTCCCGAAGTTTAAGAAATGTTTGAATTTCAAATTCTTATATTAGCAAATTTGAAAAGTTCTAAATTCCCACATTCCACAATTTTCAAACTCCAAATTCTCAAATTCACTTTTGAATTTTTTAATTACTAAATTCTAAATTTTCAAATTCTCAAATTTCAAAACTTCCATATCGTTAATGGCCAAAGTTTTAAATTCCTAAATTTTAGAATTTGCAAATTGCCAAATTTCAAACTGTCAAATTCGAAACGTTCAACTTCAAAAATTTACCACTCTTCAATTACTAAATTGCCAAATTCAAAAAACTGAAAGTTCCCTGCATTCAGCAGATTATACTTGATATTAATACTATTTATAAAAGTAAGAAATTTAATTCACACCAAATTCTAGAAAAAAGTTCTAGTTATAATGTAGAATACTTACACACATCTACACATATGTGCATCTCATATGTATACATATGTATCTTAGTTAGACATTGTACGAGTGAAATTCATGGCAGTAGCTTATATTAGTCAAGTTTCGATTATATCTAAATAATTTGTAAATTAGAATTGGGTTAAAATTTAAAAGAATTTAGTTAACATAATACAGAGTTCAATAATATCGAAAATTTATCATACGAGTATTTTTATCTTCGTAATCTTCATTACGGGTTGTACAGATCCGCAGAAAACCGCAGGTTTAATAAACTTCCGGTAGAAAAATGTTAAATTCGTATAGAAGTAACGTAAAACGTTTTACTGTTAAGCTTGAAGTACATAGTGTATCGTAGGTTAAATTCCAACTAAGCAAGATCAGAATAATTTGAATGTATGAATTTTCTAAAATAAGAAGCAAGTTTATATTACATAAGTCAATATGTATATTATACAGGGTGTCCCAACATTTTACCGTCAAATTTTACTAATATATTTTCTTCGCGAATGAAAAAAATGTTATATCAATGTAGGGTTTCAAATATTTCGTTAAAAAATTATAACTCAAATACGAAATGACAGTGAATTGCTATGTTATTCGGGTGTTTCAATTTTGTCCATATAACTTTACTAGCATACCCTACAAATAAAAAGGAAATATGTTTATATGAATATAGGCTTTTCAATGCATTGTTAGAAGTTATAAAAAAAGAAGAAAGTCGACAATTATTCTTGTACACAGTCCCTGGGCATCGAATTAGAACTACTACAAATTTTCAGCATTTCTTACGTTTTCCGTAAAATTAAAAGACCTCTTCAAATTGTAATTATATAATTTATTAGCTACTAACATGCTACACTATTACTGTACATAGCATTATTAACACATGTTAATGTCTTGTAGTTCCACCCTTTGCTTTGGTCACACCTTGTATCGGACATGCTCCGTATGCATTGATCATATGCTTTATATCTTCATTATTTTCCCAAATATCTGTAATTCTTTTCAACTCAGATAATGTGGTTGGAGAGTTGTAAACTAGTCTTATGAGTAAGCAGACATTTTCTATGGCATTCATATTTCACCTGATGCGCTATCGATACTCGAGCCTAACGTAAACGCTCGCACCGCCCTTAATCGCTCATCACCCGCACAATTTACTATCACGATAGTAACAAGTTGCTATGTATATATCGTTAGCAACGTATTTAGTAATAATTTTGCATGGCCTAAGACAATTTTTCATGTATGACATAATGTTACAGCCATAAAAGTGAAATTTTCGTACGTGCTCCTAATTCGATGGCCAGAGACTGTATATCGAAGGAAAAAACCGTTCATTGTTATTTCGTACATTCGTAATTTTTCGATAAAACATTTAAGATCTTATGTTTATATACCATTTTTGTATCATCTTTATTTATGGAATATTTTGGTCAAATTTTACGAAACTGGGACATACTGTATGTGGCATCGTAAAAGAAGGCAGTCATTTTGTACTTTTGTTATAACTTTTTAATAAAGTGTTTAAAACCTTACGTTAATATAATATATTTTTATTATTTTTGCGTATGGAATATTTTGATAATGTTTAGCGCTAAAAAACTGGTATACTCTGTATAATCTGAACTTGTGTAATAGACTCGTTCTAATTTACTCGTTTTAATTTAGCAGATTTTAGTAGACAAAATAATACACAAATACCATTGTTTATGTACAAATAGTATTTTTATGTAAATAGTAAATAAAATAATACTCAAATAACTAACGTTGAAATAACGTTTAAATAACTAACATTGAAATAACAAACCTATGAAATTATTAAATGGTCAGTTAATTGTATTAATTAGTCAGTTAAATGTATTAAAGTTAACTGTACAAATTTTTTAATAAAAATATTGTAATTTTTAAGATATTGTAATATTGAAAGATACAATCTAAAAACATGTAAATATTAAAATAAAATAATGTTTAATTCACTAATATTATTTAAATTATTAACCACAATTAATAATATTAATTAATTATATTTAAAATGTTATCAAAATGGTATAATCACGAGGGTTAATAGATGTAATTAATAATACAAGTTTAGTGTTCGCAAGTTATAGCCACGATATAAACAATATTTCAATTTCAAAAGGTAAATGTAATTATATTTCAGGTCACGAGCAAAGCACTATTACCCTTGAATGAGAGATCAGTCACTTTTTATTATGCGTTCGATGTTATTCTCTTATGTGAATCATTACGAACATGAATAAAAAACCATGCTCTACTTTTTCTATAGTAGTATTATGTAAGGGAACTAAACAAACAAGCTTCTTTAACACGAAGTTGACATTTAATATGAATTTACTATAACCAAATATTTACGAGAATGAAACTTGTTTAAATTTTAACGGTAATACTATTAATAATAATTTTGTGTTATTATTATTTACTTTATGTATGTAACATGATAATAATATTATTATTATTTATTTCTATTTATACTATTTAATTCATTAATTATTACTATTTGCTTAGTAATACATAAGTTATTATTATTAATCTTGTCTCTACGATATATGTGATTTTGAAGCTTGACAAATAACGTAACAAACTTATTTCTGAAAAATAACGCAACAAGTCATAAATGCAATACTTATTTTCCCAAATATGTGTTAATAGACTAATCTGATAATTAAAATAAATAGAATTTAATACATTTACAAAAAAAAACGTTGATAATAAATAAAAATCTTTTTCATGAATTCTTATGCTTAAGTATACAGTTTATATGTTATTCTTACATAAAAGATTTGTTATTGTTATTTCACAACATATGTGTCATTCTGACAAATAACATAAAAATCGTGAATGCAATATTTATCTTCTCTAAACACATACATTCGTAACATTCTCATTAATTCACATTAATTGAAATAAAAGGAATTTAATATACTTAAAAAGAATTTTAATAATAGTATCAAGTATCTTTTAGATAACATTATAATAACAAAACAAGTTTTATATTTATTATGAATTATATAAGTTTTATATGAATTATAATTTTATCCAAATTTCCAAGTATTATTAAGTATTATTAATCCCTAACGGCCACACTTCATCAGAATAACATAACTGGCACTTCGAGACGTTTAAGATCTTAACAATTAAGAATGTTTCATACAAACTAGCAACTAATTATTTTAACTTCAAAAAGAAACACAAATAACCTTTGAAAGCTTTTTAACATATTTCCCAGCATTTTTTACATATTTCAATAAATTTGAACGATGAATATTAAAGAAAATTCAGAAACATGAAGAAATTGAAAAAATGGGAGTTGTCGCAGAAAAATTCAAAATGTAATACTATTATTTTAAATTATAGAATTGAATTTTGTATATCTATCTACAACCAAAGCTTCCTCTTCACATTTTTTACTTATAATGTATGAGGTGTAATTACATCCCTAATATTTAACGATAAAATTGCATATCTGTTACTAAACAAAATTCGGCCTTTCTGTCAGAGATAACTTTATCTGTACCTGTGCATTTCTTGTACGTGACCAAACCGTGCAAACAAACACTTACGGTAAAAAACTTGATTACGGCTCTTCTAAGTTTATTAAAAAATAATTATACTGTCATTAAACAACAAGCAATCTCATAGTACTTCATAGATTCTTGTTAGAAATTTCACATTTCTTTCATATAGTTTAAATTTCCTCTACCACTAGTCTTCAGCGACAAATTTCTTACAAATACCTCAAAAACTATGACAATAAAATTCATTTGTGATAAACACTGTGATAAATACTGAAATTAATATAATGTACAAATATGTAATGCAATGTATATATATACAAATCTAAAAATCATTAGATAAGTTTAGAAAAATGATGGTTAAAGTTGCACAACCTTGAAAGTTGTCTCTCAAATCCGCCCAACCATTTTCCGGCCCAATTCTCCGAACCATTCGAATCTAATTCAAATTCGATCTTTTCGGTAATCCAAGGTTTTGGCCAAGTGCCCTTCGATTCGATTCTTACCTTCCCGATGTTTCATTCTTGACCGGTATTTAGGAAGGTCATGACCTCAGGGTAGGTTTACCGCGAATGAGATAATCGCGCATGCGCGACCCGCGGGCGAAAGTATTTAAAGAAGTGGACGCGCCTTCGGGAAGGCCACTCTTCCCTGAACTGTCACGCATCGCGCAATTCCCCCACCGTCCTCCCCTTCCGAGACGAACGAGCATGCGTTCCCACCGAGAACGGGAAGATCGTCTCTGTTGATCGTTTTTTCCCTCCATCGCTCATTTAACCCTACTGGTCCCCTCCTTTAGGACCGCTCGTCCTCCGCGTGTTCCCTCTCCAGCGATCCTCGGCGCGACGTCGGTTTAATAGACCCGCTTGCCTCCGCAGATTTGATTTGGTATCGGCACACGTCAGTGACAATTCGAAGACGATGTGGTAATTCCCTGATGGATTAATTTGGCCCACGATCTCTACCTTTCGTCAGGAACATGGAGGAAGCGGACGTTCAGCAGGAATCAAGGGACCAAGTTGGCAGTTTGATTTTCTCTCCTCCGCCGATGAAGAAGTCCGACACGAGGGATAGCATTTCCTCCGTGGACAGCGACGTGAGCCTGTCGTTCGACCGAAGAGGATCCAAAGGAGAGGAAGCTGATCTGTCAGACTGTGGAAGCACCGGTAGCGAACGAAAGTTGAACGATGCAACGGAACAGCGACCGAGTTCTGATCCCGACTCAGGAGCGGACTGCCGGGAGGAAACCAGGGACCAAAAGCAAGAAACGGTTGCAGCAAGCACCGCGACACAGGCCGACGATTTTGTCCCGCCGAACGACGAGTTGACCGAGAAAATTTGTGCCCAAGTGGAGTTTTACTTCTCCGACGAGAATATCGTTAAGGACGCTTTCTTGTTAAAACACGTGAAGAGGAACAAGGAGGGCTACGTGTCTCTGAAGCTCATCTCGAGTTTCAAGCGAGTGAAACACCTTAGCAAGGACTGGAGAGTGGTCGGTGCCGCTTTGGCAAAATCCAAGAAGCTTCAAGTGAATCCTCAGGGTACGAAGTTGAGGAGAATCGATCCTCTGCCGCCTTTCGATCAGACCACCCCCTCGAGGACGATTCTGGCTGCGAGACTTCCGGTGGAGAAGTTATCGGTGGAGACCGTCGCTGAGATTTTCAGGCCATGTGGGGAAATCGCTCTCATCAGAGTCCTTCGACCTGGACATCCCGCGCCAGCCGAGGTAATGTTGTCAATTTGTACAATTTTTGGAATCATGATCCATTAATGGTTTTTGGATTAGCAGGTGCGACAGGCGATCGCTAAGAGGCCAGAGTTGGCAGCCAGCGACGAGTGCGCCATGGTCGAGTTCACGGATTCAGCGGCCGCTCGTGCCGCTTTACAAATGTCCTTGGGCGATGCCAAGATGTTCGAGCTGCAGCAATCTGGAGACAAGAAGAAGAAACAGCAACCTGCGAAGAAAAGTGCCCTGACGAGATTGGCCAAAGAGGAAACTTACAACTCATCGAGTGGACCCAGTGGATCTGAAAACGAGGATGGACGAGCCAGACATAAGAAACCCATTCATACGTACCCAGCGTATCATCCTTATCCGGGCAACCATTATCAAGGTACAATTTTATATAACATTAACAGTTTTAGTTGTGGATTTTGCCAGAAATGCCGATAGAGTTTATGAGGATGGGAGCAAAAATCAATGTGATTCAGATATAAATCCTTTTATGTAGCGCAATCTTGTTATATGGCCTTTTGAAGAAGTTTATACTTTAGACTCTACGTGAAGTGGAACTCTCTAAATGGGATGTATAAATGTAAGCCATATATCTAATGGGATATATAAATCTAAGTCACTATAGTGAGAGGCATCATGCTAGAGACGCTATCTCATTGTTACGAATAGAAATCGCAGGTGACTGCTTTTTTGAGGGTTGATATTTTGTTTCTGATTGATGAGGGCGTTCTTAAATTTTTGATCGGATGGAAATTTTTAAATGTGAAAATTTCTCAAATTTATTAGCTTATAAATTAAAAAATTCTCAAATTTAACAATTTGCTGAGTTTTGAATGTGGAAATTCAGAAATTTTTAAATTAATACATGTTGAAATCGTCAAACTATGGAACTTAGAAATTGAAAAATTTAGATCTCGAATTTTTAAAGTATAACATTTGCAAACTTTAAAATTCAGAAATGTTTATCTTCACAAATTGAAAAATTGAAAAATTGTCAAGTTTTACGATATACAGTTTAAAAATTTTTGAATTTACAAATTTATAAACTTGGATGTTTTTGAATGTTCAAATTATCAAATTTAGGATTTTAAAAGTTTTCAAATACTAAAAATTTGAAAATTGTAAATTTGCATATCTTTAACTTTACTAATTTTTAAATTTAGAGAACAATTCGAAACTATATTACGCCTTCATCGATTTAACGAAACCTTTTCTGAACACTTCATAGTGAATGCATGTTATGAAACCTTTTCCGGTCCGTTTAGCTCTATTTTCATTTCTTTCAAGGTCACCATGGATCACGCATTATAATTATTTTTTCTTTATAAACCTCAAAGGTACATTGACAAGTTCCAAAAAATAAGATGAATATATGAAAATTTCTGATTAAATAAGTAAAATTCTTAATATACAGGATGTTTCATTTTTATTCAGCATTTTCTATGATTAAAACAATAGAGAGTGTTATATAAACACGAAATCGGAAATGCTTTATTAGAAAGTTATAACAAAAATATTAAAATTATAAGTGACTGCTTTCTCATTTGATATTTTGTTTAGTAAAAAAAACCAAGATGAAATTCATATGATCATAGATTCAGTTTATCAGCGGCATGAATTTTAAATTTACAAAGATAATGACAATTTAAACAGAAATTTTAAGAAATATGACTTTGTAATGAGACTTCTAAATTAAAAATAAAACGTAACAGTAAATAAATAAGCGACGAAACATAAATTAATTTATACAATTATTTTTCATCTCAACAAAACATTATTTCAACAAAAGCAGCTTATTAATTTTGTTAATTTAAAATAAGAAATCTAAAATCTAAAATAAATTATGCTGACACCATTTTGTGGCATAAAAATGAAACATCCTGTATAATATAACCAATGTATTCTTACAAAAATTTAAGTGTCATTCACATGTAAGCAATATGGCGGTCACTGAATAATATTCAAGGGTCCTTTCAAGGACGCACTAAACAGGGAGCCCACTAAAGAGACCACTAGATAGGACTCCTTTAACTCTTTGAGGCATACGATTTTAAATAAAATAAAAACTAAGACTGCACAGAATTTTTTTAATATAAATAAATGGAAAAAATGTTCACATCAATTATTTGACATAAAAACAACGTCAACTTTTTAAGGGGTGTAAAATATGTTCCACCACACAAAAGTGAAACAGAAGACGAATTAGCTTTAAACGCACTTGACCCTAAAGAATTAAACATGAAGTCCAAACGAATGCTCAAGTTATCCCATTTGAAAATCTCTACTCGACTCTTAACTTATCACAAAATATTATTACAGGACCCCCATCACCAGATGCATGGTTATCTCGCCGATTATCCTCCTGTTCGGTGTCAGGTTCAGAAAATGGTTTCATCCTCCGTCGTTTGTCATCCTGTTCCGGCTCAGGTTCCGGTTCGGAAACCGGAAGCTTCGGTAGACGATACTCAGCCTGTTCCTCCGGTTCGGAGACCGGTTACTACCACCCAGTTTTCCCGGCGAATTACTATTATCCGGAAAATCGACGTTACTCGTGTTGTTCGAGTTCCGGTTCCGAGTGCAACGGTGCCTGTTACCATTCTAGTCGTCGCGGATCCGCCGATTACGGATTCATAAGGAGGTTATCCGCTTGCAGTCGAGATTCTGGCTACGACATCGGTGTGAGAAGGCTGTCCTTGTGTTCCTCCGGTTCCGAACAGGCTGGATATTGTCGACCCAGAAGTAACAGCGGTATTGCGTTAACGCATTTGCCTGAGAACGTGACGAGAATGCCATCTGGCCCAGATGGCACGCGTGGGTTTGGCCGACCGCCAAAAATGAATGCCATGGCACCACCCATGGAGCCCACGTGTTAGAAATTATTTATTCTCGACAAACTTTCTTTCAGATTCTATTACAATTCTCGCTAATTATGGAACTGACAATGTACAAGTAGAACGGTGGAAATAAAATAGGCTATAAGTACCATTTTTCAAAAATTCTTTTTACAAAAATGGTACGCAGTGGTGCAAAATTTAAACCTGGAAGGTTTATCATTAGATTGTCAAACTTTATGTAAAGAGTAAACTATACATGGTATACTTTTTACAAACCTTAAATTACTTCATATATGTATGTGGAATTCCATGTAGAAATAACAGATACACAAAATAGGTAAATAAATTAATTTTAATTAGAAAAAGATTTTTGAAAAATATTCTAATTTCATTTGTTTCTTTGGGGCTCCTTGGCACCCTCTCTAAGTACGTCACTGAGGTGTACTTAGGACAATGATATCGAGGACAATAGCAGTAAATATGAACTGAAGTAATATTGCAATAATTCACAATTTTTAAATGACCAGTTTTTACAAGTTTAGTTATCATATATTTTGATAAACAAGTTGTTTTCACAGAAATTTAAATGTTGCAGTTGTATTTATTTTCACTGTTCAAATATGTAATCAGTTATTATTAAGAATTTGGTACCTTGTCAGTTTAATGAACATATACTGTCTTTATATTATACATGTTTTTCATTCGTTTGTATTTAATTTTATCAAGTGATTTTGAATGTTTTGAAACAGTCGCAGGAATGTATTTATCTTCTTTCTAGTTTACGTGTTAATTATTTGATCATAAGAGATTTCTACTTAAAATGATGTAAATAATAATATTTTAAATGTTACGTAATTGTGATAAGCGTCAATTTTACAAAGGACATTTTAAATCCATGTATATACATAGATGTACACTAGCGAGCAAGTCTGGCTTCTTCTGGAGAAAATTGAAAAAAATTTGCTGCAGATGAAAGATCGTAAACAGTTATCAAGTGTTAAGTTTATAGATCTAGAGTTTTATAAATTTGAACGTTTAGTAATTTGTGAAATTATAGATTTAAGAATTCATAAATTTAGCTATTTAGAAATTTAAGAATTTGGAAATTTCATAATTTAAAAATTGTCATATTAGTATAATTGGAAATTCAGGGATTCAAAACGGAATTACCCAAAAATCAGGAGAAGCCTACATTGCACCCGGGTGTACAAAAGTTTTCGATTGTGAAGTTCTGTGATATCGACGAATAATAACTATACTTCGTTCTACGAAAGATCATACTTAATTTGCGCAGCTCCACTAAGTTTAGAACGTTTCGCGCCATCTTGGCTACCCTTCTGCCACTTGTTTTTCATTCATTCGACCACGTACACGGTCAACAAAAATGAAAGAGATATTAAACTCAATTTTTAGAATAATTTCACATCATAACTTGTTGGAGGAATTTTAGATATAATAAAAAAATATTGTGTTTAACAGAAATCAGAATTGATGAGAGTGTCCACCAAGTATATACGACTATGTTTATAATGTGCATGCGCGTTGCTCTTAGTTATTCAGTTTGTTATAACCAATCAGGATCAACATGCGTAGATGAGCGAAAACTCATCATTCAAGTAGTATGTATGATCTTATATGGAACGGAGTAATTTATACTGTACAGACTTCGAAATCGCAAGTAGTATATGTCCGTGTTGAACAGACACTGAAAGATGTGTTGAACAGCACTGAAAGATGTGTTGAACAGACACTGAAAGATGTGTTGAACACACCTGGTGTGTCATTCGCGATACTCAAACATTAATATACATTATGTAAACATTGTAAAGAAATATATTGATATTTTCCAATTGTATCAGCCCATGTTAAACTTCAACCATCCTATTTCATTTAAGCACTCTTTACTAATAAACATTGTGTAAATAATATAAACGAGATATGCTGCATTTTTGTATAAATTAAACAATTGCTAAAAACATAGTTTATTTATACAGTAACTTATTAAAATACTTATGTAGATTTGAAAGTTTCTAAACTAAAACATTTTAGAATTTATACATTTCGAAAAGCTGAAAATGTGAAGATTTCAAAACTCTTAGGTTTTACATTCAAAAATTTGAAAGTTTGAAAGTTGGAAATTCATAAATTTTGAATTTTGAAGACTTCTAAATATATGAACATAATAAATTTAAAAATTTGTTAATATATAAATTTAGAAGTTTGAAAGTTTGAAAATGTTTAAATTTGTAGAGTTGAAAGTTATAAATTAAAAAATTTGAGAACTTTGCAATGTGTAAATTTGAAAAGTATAGCCAGCGAATAATTTTTATTATTTTATAAAATTTACATCGATATTTATGCAGTGATGAACGAGTGCTTTCGCCTTTTCACGCCGCTTAAGGAACGTTAAGCATGGATCTTCCAACTCAACGTCTGATTAAATATCCTCAATCCTGTATTCCCAATCTTCACCAGTTAATGCAACTGGAGAAGGTCTCTTAGGTCTTTGAGACGCGGCAAGTCGATCGGTGCATCGCGAGCCACGAGACTCGGCCCTGTCGATGTCGGTGTTTGTCGATGACTTGGTACACATACGCTCCGGTGACTACCGTCAAACACACGGTCAGTAAAACAATTAGGATTACCCAACCAATATGAATGGATGTTGTCTCCAAACGCTCGAGTCTTCGAGTCACGTTTATGACCGTTGTGTTGTAGCGGACGATCTCGTCGAGGAGGGTTGTCACATTGTATTCCAAAATCTTCACCCGTAAATTGACATACATAATGTCGAAGCTGTTTAAATCTACGATCAGTAGACATAAACCAGTAAGACTTATCTTCAAGATGGTATGATTTTGTTTGCGTGAAGAGACCACAAGGTAATCTTCACAAAGCAACATAAACCAGAAACTCGGCTTGATCAGTCGATGAAATCTGGAACTAAAAAATCGCCAGTGATGAACGAAATATAGTATGTGCAGTTACAACATTGGTAAAACTGCATATAACTGCATATTATATTACGTATGCTTCCACGTAGTTATGTTAACATTTTGTATACAATTCTTTCGAGAATCATATGTACATAACATATCAACGAATAGTTACGATGTTTAAAAATACGAATGACATCGTAAACGATTGTAAATTATTTAAAAAGTGCAAGTAGTACATCTCCTATAGTTTGGACTGCGTGGATTTCAAAAGACTTCACTGTGGTTCGTGTACAGTACGAACTGTATAATATTTTTATGATTTCACAAGATGGTGAGGTTAGGACGTGTTTACTTGACAGATACTTTAAAGCAAAGGATGAAACGCAAAGATAGTTTAAATATAATAGGAATGTGTACATAAAAAGTGGATAATCCTTAGAAGAAATCATGTTTTTCCCGATTGGATGGCCGCGGGTTCTAAACACAATCGAACCGGAAAACATAACGGCGGTTGTTTGTAATCGAGATAAAATACTTTTCGCTATTTTGACAACAGATTCTCTTACCATCTGGTATTGCAAGGCATGTGTTCTGAACTTAAATAAAATAAAAATAATTCTCCATATTTAGTTATCTACTGTTTGATAAAATTATTAGTCATTCAAATTCAATTATAGTTCAATATTGTAATACAATTAGCTTCCAATAATTTCTGTTAGTAATATGAATTTATTAGCTGTTATAAATATTTCATATTATTCTAGTACTTTTATATTAACATTTTGATTTGATATTAGGTTGACCAGAAAGTTCTGTCCTTTTATAACCATCCAGGTTTTTTACGCTTAGATAAAATATGAGCGGGTTGTGAACAATGATTACTGTATTATGTATTTATTAAGAGTATGTGTTACGTAAAATAGCAACTTCATGCTCAATAAATTATTCTGTTATAAATTTTATAAAAACACACGGGTCAGCTAACAAGATCTATTTATTTCAGCATGTTCTGTAGAAGTTTATGCAAGAAAATAATTAATTAATTATGAAACAAACTTTGTAGAATAGAACCAAATATAGAAGATATTGATATCAGAAGTTATGAATCAATAGTGTTAAAATTTAATTATTGAAATTTAAGTTAGGAAAATAAGCTTTATTAAAGAAGACAGATGAAAGTTAATGATTATATTTTACAAAATAATACAAATGCCTATAATTGGATATAATGCCATCTGTATATCACGTGTACCATACCAAAAGAACATTTTGGCAAACCTAATATTATGAAATATCTTTATTACTCCAATACTATTACATAAATAAATTTAAAAAGAAATATTTATTTTCTTTTTAGCCATGTGTACCTATTGTATTTATCAGAAGAACTCCAGACTCCTTAAGAAAGCACGGTGACAATATTTTGGTACAATGGAGACCAGATTCCAGTATGCTAGTTATTGCGGTATAAAAAATGATATATTAAATCATAACATAACATAATATATAAAGGTTAGATACATTAATATTGACATTTGCAGACATCAGATAGCTACCTCTTATTTTATCGGTTGTCAGATACTAGTCCAGAAGAAAGAGGTCTTTATGAACAAAGAGATTCTCCAGTTACCAGCTTAAAAAGAGATAGTGCTGAATTGTTTATAAAAGAAGTTATTCCTTCCTTAGTTTTAACATTTGTAAGTAAACTTTGCAGAGGACAAATGGTACTTATGACTGTAACAAATATTACTTATTTTGTATCAATTCTGTTTTTCAGGAAAAGTCAGTTTGGATAGATGGTGGTATTAGTTCTTTGGTTTGTATACGTGATGAGCTTATGGTAGCTACAAAAACCAGCCATGTAATACGTCAAAAATGGGATGGTACAACGAATAGAGATTACTCTCTCGATTTAAGGAGAATACCATTTAGTATAGATCAACAAATATCTACCGTAGCTGTACCACTAACTGAAAATAATGTGTACGTCACCGACATAGAATATTCTCCCTTAGTTGGTGGATTTGCAATTGTACTCAATACTGGCAAAGCAGCATTTCTCACAGCTCAGTCACTGAAATTTGATCCTAATGTATGTTAATTTAATTGCATGTATGTGAATAACTTATTTATAGCAATATTATGTTTTAGCAAGTACAAGGGATTTGGGCTAAAGACATTGATGATGCCACTTGCGCAGCTGTGAATCACAAATATCGCCTTATTGCAATTGGAAGACAAAAGTATGCTTTTGTATATTTTAAAAATCTGTATTATACATAAATTTATAAAAGTACATAATATACGTTTCATTATTAGTTCTGAAGGTGTAGTATACTATGTCGACGAAACAACAGGCGGCTTGGAAATGTCACATACGTTAAGTTTATCTTCAAAAGATTATCCGGGAAGACCAGGCCGTGTAAGATGTTTAAAATGGACTCCTGATAGTTGTGCCATTGCATTGGCTTGGGAAGGTGGCGGCCTAGCAGTATGGAGTACATTTGGTGCTCTTTTACTTTGTAGTTTAAAATGGGATTATGGTTTAAGAGTAGACTTAACACGTGATAATCCTTTGCATATCCATACAATGGTAAGTAAATTTATTATTATTATTAATATTGATTTTATTTTTCTTATTTGGTCTCACCTTTTATATAATATAGGAATGGTCTGCAGAAGGTTATCAACTTTGGATGTTAAGAGAATCTCCAGACCCTTTAATAGAAGAAAATGGAAATGAAAAAACTAGTTTAAGGCGATCTTTGATACAATTAGATTTTGTAAAAAGTCCTTTAACTATCAACCCTTGTATGGTAATTATAAAAATAATTATCTAGATAATGATTTTGTTTTAAATACATTTATTATTTACAATGACTTTGTATGTAGGGTCATCATGGACATTTGTATTTACAAGGTGAAGACAGATTATATTTAAATCTTGGTGGTGGAGTTTCTACAAATGCTCCAACTTTTCATCTTGGTAGTGAAATTCCTAATGATTCTATTACACAAACACTTGCAAGTTGCAAACAATGGCTAGTTGTTCCTATTCCCAGCGTGTATAGTGGTTCCAATTGGCCAATAAGAGTATGTAAATATATACAGTATATCAGAGGTTCCCAAAGTTTTGCCTAGATATATTACATATAAAATTTAGTATCTTTTTAACTAAACAGTTTTTAATTATAATATAACATTTATTTAATTTTTTGTAAAGATATAATTTATCTTTATAAATTCATGATCACAAATGATCTAACCTCGCAAGCCGTAATTGACCTGTAGGCCGCTCTAAGTCATCTTTTGCTTTATTACTTTTTTCAAGATCATGTTTTGCAGACACTGTGATATATGTACTATATGTAGGTAGACAAAATCTACTTACTGTATTATAGAACATAATGCATTGTAAAATTTTTTCAGTATACTGCTATTGATAATGAAGGTATGAGTATAGCCGTAGCCGGACGGACAGGATTAGCTCATTATTCTTTGCCTTCGCGTAAATGGAAATTGTTTGGTAATGAAACTCAAGAGCGAGATTTTATCGTTACCGGAGGATTATTATGGCATAAAGGTTTTTTAATAGCCAGTAGCTATTCAATATTAGATGATAAAGATGAAGTTAGAATATATCCTCGTGATACCCGTCTGGATAATAATTATGTTAGAACTGTTAGAATGCCATCGCAGGTATTACTGCTCAATACACTAAAAGACAGGCTCTTAACATTTTGTGCTAATGCACAAATTAGCATTTATGATATGATATTAGAAAGCAATAATGGTGAGTAATTGAAGGAAGTCAATTTGCACATTACAAAGCATAAAATCATACTTAAAATATTTTTATTTTAGATGCAGGAAATGTAGAATTAACGAGATTGCAAACTGTAGATATTAGTGGACT